GTAGAGTGGCGAAAATCTAGCAATGGAGCATGCGCTGGCCTTCGATCCATACAGGAAGTAACTAAACCCATTGCAATCAACCTGAGGAGAAAAACAAACCGAAAAAACAGCCAGACAACCGACATGTTATACACATGAAGGTTGTTAAATAGGGGGTTGAACTCCTGTCATTTATCATTATGAAATACGCAACACAATTGAAAATTTTCAAGGCAGAGTACAATCCTAGGTTAAAGCTCGACCGAGGGAAGTAAGGCTGACTCAACATCCGGTCCAGATGATCCGGAACCCGGCAACGTTGATGCAGAATTTCTCATTGGAAGAATCTGCTTCTAAAGCTCTTACAGTAACTTGGCTTCGTTAGAAGCTAAGAATCGTTGAAACCGTCAAGCATAAGGAATCTTCCTCTGTCTACTGATTCTTGAAGACCGTCCTCAGTGCCTTCCCATAGGTCTCTAGCATTCTGTAGACTACTAATGTCTGGTCGTTCGGATCCTGCGCATCGTGGAATTCGATATTCTCCAGATCATTAAGCTCGTATCTTGAGTTGGCGTTAAACCTGCAATTATTCAGGACATAAGCCAGACTGGTGGAGCTATAATCAGGCTTCACCCAAGAGGCACCATTCTCCTCAACCATCTCGTACGGAACATCTTCGTAATATAGACGGCAACCACCGAGTGTGATATCCATGGTGAAGTTTCCGGGTTTTTGAAGGAATACCAAAACGCTTGAGCCTCCTCTACTGTCATCTTCATACAGGCCCGATGGATGAGGCTTAGTCGGGACTGTAGGAGTTGGGGTAGTAGGAAGAGGAGTTGTCGGCGGCGGCCGAGCGGGAATACCACGGAGCTGGAATCTCCATTCTGTTATAAACGTCCCGTGGGTGGTAATCTCGCTCATGGGAACGCCTTGCTCCGAGGAAACGAACAGCTGTTGGAATGTATCGCCGTTGATATTAGAGTCACGACAGTTGTCCACTTGTGTCGTGAAATCTGTTTCGCTGAAGTCGGGTCCCACGTAGAGCTTATCGTCGATATAGTGTCCCTCATGATTGCGAACACGGCCAATGTGATAGGGAATGTTCTGAACAGAAGCAGTGCAGCTACGAGCTGATAGTCAACTCATCAGAAGCAGTCCTCGTAGAACTCGATAGTGCTA